CTATAGCATACAAATATGATTTTTGTGTTTGCTATATATGGAATTTTCATCAAGAATTAATAATTGCATTTTAAATTTAATGTTTGGATATATTTAATAAACTTTTCAATACAAATAGACTACACATTATTTGAGCAAAAATTATTATGTTTAGCTGAACCTTGTATCCAGACTTGTAGCTTCGCTTGTGACATTATTAATACTCTGTCATGTTAGGTCTCATTTATTTGGCAAAAAGTCAACAACTGCATACTTTTGTATTTAATATTTCATTTATCATATGGATAATTTTGAAACATTGCAAAATCTTTTCTTATTGAGTAAAACTCTATGATTTATTTGATCAAATTTCTAAAACTAATTTATTTTGAAAAATGTTTTTTAAAAGAAAATATCTTTGATAATAAGTAATTTGTATTTGATCAATAATTTTTAAAAAGTACTTTTGAGTAGAAATTAATCTTTGACCAAACTTTTTTAAATTGTTTCTAAATCAAGCATTTTTTTTAAAAAAAAACTACTTTTTAAATTTTTGAAAAAAAAAAAAACAGTTTTTACTATTCTGAAAAACACTTATTTTTTCTCTTTATAAATTGCTTAAACACTTCACTTTTTTAAAATTAGCACGTTTTAACCCCTCAAAATTTGACCAAACGTAATAGTCTCATTTAATACAGAGTATATTAATTCTTAATTTGACTGTGTTTTCTTTTCTTTTCTTTTCTTTTGTTTGATATTTGTTTATCGAGCAACTTTCACATATAGCAAACACAAAAATCATATTTGTATGATATAGCTATAGTTTTCATAATTGCACTCCATATCAAACTTTATGTTTGCTATGACTATTAATGTGTATATTTCGCTACACATATATACAAAAGAAGCAATTGTATAATCTGGGCAGGGGAAGATCTCTATTTGTATAATCATAAGTGTATAGGACGAAAATATATATATTTGTATTTGTATATACAATTTTATTTCGCTTTATACAAACACAAACGCAATATACATTTTTGTTTGTATAAAGTGAGAGAGGCGACTGAGGTGGCGAGCGAGATCTGGGATAAGAGAGAGGGGAACGAAAATATATGTATATATATAATTTTCTTTCGCTTTATACAAATACAAACGCATTTTATACATTTGCATTTGTATAAATGCGAGAGAGGCGAGGGAGAGACTACCGAGAGTGGCGAGCGAAATTCACCAGGGAGAGAGGCAAAATAGCAACAGTTTGCTATGGGTACAATTAAATAAACTGTGATTATGACATTTAATTTGAATTATTAATTTATTATTATATACAATTTTCCCTTGTTTTATTTTGGGTTGTACGTGTACGTTCTCTTTCTTTTCGATGATAAAATGGCCCATTAGATCTTAAATTTTTTGGGAAAATTATACATAATTGCAAACTATTAATTCAAATTAAATGGTATAACCACACTTTGATTTAATTGTGCCCTGTAGCAAATTGTTTGTCAGTCGCCTCTCTCCCTCAAACTCTCGCTCGCCACTCTCCCTCTCTCGCTCGCTACTCTCCCTCTCTCGCTCGCCTCTCTCGCTTTAAATAAACAAAAATGTATAAATTGTGTTTCTGTTTGTATAAAGCGAGAGAAAATTGTATATACACATGCAAATACATATATTTTTGTCCTATACACTTATAACTATACAATACAAATATTCCCCTGTCCAGTTTTCTTTTGTCTTTCTCTCTTTCTCGCTTTATACAAACACATATTATACAAAATACAATGTATAATTTATGTTTGTATAAAGCGCGAGAGAGAACAATATTTGATATACAAACGTTTTATTTCGATTCATTGTATACAAATTCAAATTTTATACAGATATTTAAACACATAAAATTAAATTGAGAGACTCTCAACGATTTATACAAACGAAAGGCCGACAACAATTTATACAAATGGTCTGCCAGGGAAATTATACAAATCTGAAGAGGAGCTAGCTAATTATAAAGTTGCTTCATTTGTATATATGTATAGTGAAATAGCCTAGTCATAGCATGTTTGTTATGGAACGCAATTATGCAAACTTTGCTATAACATACAAATATGAATTTTGTGTTTGCTATATGTGAAAGTTGCTCATTTTTTAAAGGCTAAAGTATTTATTACCCCCCTGAACTTGAAACTTTTTATTCGGTGTACACCTAAACTATATTCCGTTTTAATTACCCTCCCCCCCCCCGAACTTGTTTATTCCTCCATCACGTACACCTTTATTGTCCACCTGGTGTAGAAATTGACAACACACTCTACTAGGCGCGTGAGGAAGTGATTTTTTGCCGCATCATAAAGCTACAACGGTAAAAAAACAAACATAAAATCTCCATTTTTCTTTAATATTTGGCATATTTTAAACGAAAAATAGGGCAAAATGTAAATGAAAAGTAAAGGAAACAAAGATTAACACTTACTTGGTAAAAATTTCAGACAAATTTGAAATTTAATCGACCAACTTCACGTCTAGAAAAACCCTAATCCAAAAGGAGTTCCGCGAAATCAGTCCTTATTCAAAAATAACTTTTAAACAATGAATGTTTGATATTTATTTTTTGCCATATTAATTTATCCAGGTGGCTATTATTTATCCAGGTGGAAATTCACATCACCACTTTTGCCAGCTGTTGCGCGTGTAGTCACAATAGGAGCAGGTGGATAAAAAAGGTGTACGTGATGGAAGAATAAACAAGTTCGAGAGGTAATTAAAACGGAATATAGTTTAGGTGTACACCGAATAAAAAACTTCAAGTTCAGGGAATAATAATACTTTAGCCTTTTTAAAAAAAAACAGTATATTAATTCTAATACTATTGTATACCATATTTGGTCACCTACTTTTGATTTTCTCATAATAAAATATACATACGTTTCATTCGTAAAATAGGAATGCATGTATTTATTTTTTATTTTTAGTTTTCATTCGATGTTTGGTCCGGTTAATTTTGATTCATGGCGCATGGGGATGAGCATAAAGTACCGAAAACTAAATTATCGAACCAAATTAATTTTTTTTATAATTCGATATTTGGTATGGTATTTGAGAGAAATTTTAGAATTATGATATTTAAGTTTGAGTTTGGTATGAGATATTAGTACCACTTGATATTTGGTATTTCACCGAATTATTTACTTAATGAATGTCATATATTAACATGTTCATTGCTTATTAATACAAGTCCAAAAAGAAACTTAAAGAATAAACATAAACAATCAAACACATATGTCTTTTAGTTATATTAATTTGCTTTTCTTACTTGTTGATTTTTTATTATACCGTGTCTCCACATAAAAGTAGAGTTGTCAATATGGGCTAGCCCACTCCATCCGGGCTAACCCATACAGGCTTTGAAATTTTACGGGTCAGGCCAGGCTAGCCCATTTTTGGTGTGGGCTAGAAAACGGTCGGCCTAATCCACAAGTACGTGGGCTACAAGCTTGCCGAGCCAGCCCACTTTTTTAAACATTATATATTTTTATAATTATTAAATTAAATTATAAATTATAATTTAAAAATATTATCATAAAAATCGACAAAACAATATTACATGGTGTTAATGTTACTACTTGTTAATCAAATCCACAAATAAAATTATCTTTATAATATTTATTAAGTTTTTTTTCAAGTAAAAGTATAAATATCTAAATAGAAATATTAACCTAACTGTTTTGCAATTATCACAATAAAGCACAAAAAATATGACAATATTCCAACCATAAAAAAGTAAAAAATAAACTCCTTAAAAAATCATGAAACTTATGGCGTATCTAACACTTTATAAAACCTATGACGTATCTAATACTTCATGATCATCTTCATCAAGCATATCTAAATCAACTTGTGGGAAGGTTGTCTTAACATCTTCATTGTCATTTGCAATTTATATGCGGTTTCAATTAGTTAAATATTAAAAAATAACTAAATTGAGAATTATAATATTTAAATGTACACAAAAATATATTACCAGTTTGAGAAAAACCATGTAACCAGTTTCGAGTAGCAACAAGTGTTTGGACATTTTCATGGTGGATGCAACTTCTATACTTAGTGATTTCCTAAAAAACTTTAAATAGATTTTGAGTTTGGATCTCTTTATTTTAAATTTTAATATTATATTATATTTTTTAATTAATTTTTATTGGCCCACAGGTTTGCCCTACCTATATTTCGCAAGCCCTACAAATCAGCAGACTTATTTAGGCCGGGCTAAAAAGCCAGTTAGGCCAGGCCGGCCCAACATGCCTAGCCCATATTGACGGCTCTACATAAAAGATAGAATTAATTGGAGAAATAATATCAACTTTGTAATACAATTGGCTATAACTTCAATATAGTATTACTAAACACTGTACCAAATCGAAGTTTAATTTACGGAATTTCGATTCACTAAACACTGTACCAAATCAAAGTTTAATTTACGGATTACTGAATCGAAATTTTAAATTTTGATATTTGGTATCTATTTTTAACTACCAATTACCTAATTATTGAACCCAAAATTTGAGAATCCCAAATTAAATACCGTACGCCATGGAAATTATTTAATAAGAAGTGCTACTTTCAACTATGACTCAAATTCATAAGACCTCTGATTAAGAAAAAAATTGTGTCATCCTCTGATTAATATAAAACGCTTGTGACAAAATTAATTTTTACCATAGTAGAAATTATGGAGTTGGCTAATTTCGTAGACCGTACGCAACCTCTCATTTCCAACTTCCTATATATACCGCAACCCTAAAATATATTTGATTCGTTAGTAATCTCTATCTCAAATTAAACACACTCATGACTCACCTAACAGACTGAGTCAGAGAATCTACCTAATATCAAATCTCCAAGTCGCAATATTTTAATCCCAAAAAAGACTTTTGATCACTATTTTTGCAGGGTTTGGAGACTATAATACAGTATTAATTTAATGCTAACATCATTGAATTTCAAAGCTTAATCTTCTATATAATATATGTTTGTTTCTCCACTCATCGCTCGAATTGGATCCAGTTCAATCCGAAGCTTGTCGAATTTCAGGTGAAGTTCCTCATCTTTTATGTATGTATATTACTAGTAGTGTGGGTGATTATTTTTGGGAGTAATTGAAGTAATTTTGCAGAACCAAGTGCTTGAAGCAATTGCACATGGCCCAACCACCGATCCTGGCGTTAGCAATTCCATCGGATACCGGTCGTGTCCTCAGCATTCAGTCGCATACTGTTCAGGTACCCCTGTTTTTTCCTGGCTTGGTCATCAATAAGTGCCCCCTCGATCCCAATTTTAGTTGGAGTGAGTAGACTAGCATTTGCTCAGATTTTATGACACGAGAGTTTGAACAACTAGCTAATGTGCTATGTAGACTAATTATAGTTAGCAGCTCTTTAAATAGGTGAAATAGTTTAGGATACGGATAGACAATGACGGAGCTAGTATTTTTAATAAGGGGTTCAAAATATGAAGAAGTACACATACGAACTAATCGAAGGGGGTTCAACATCTACTGTATATACATAATTTTTTTTTTTAACCATGTATAAATAGTAATATTTTCCGCCGAAGGGGTTCATCACATACTGCTGGCTCCGCCCCTGCTGATAGAAACTTCCACCTTGTTTTCAGTGGTAGACTGGTAGTATTCAGGATTTTCACTTAAGGGTTCGAAAAAGAAAGAAAGTAGTGTCCTGCTATTTGAACTTGGAACCTCATGGTGATTTTTGACCTTCTAAACCACTGAGTCAACCTTTAGTCTTGTATTGAGGGGATTTTAAAATCTATACATATGCACTAAAATTTTGAAACACACCTTATATGTAATGTAATTTTTTGCCGAGAGGGCGAGGGTTTGCCCCCTCTTAGATCTGCCCCCGCTTGTTTTGTACAAATACCTGTCTGTGCAAGTACTGAGTGTTGAAGTATGTCCTGCACGAGTATCATAGCTTGCATTGCAGCACATGCTACCAGTCGTGAGGCCAATTTTTGTACTTCCTGATATCTTCTGCACTTGAGATGATTACTTAATTTTGTACAGTGCATGCTATGTGAACTAAAAGTTTCAATGTGAATATGTATCTACTATTTGTCTTGATAAGTATACATGATTAAGATTGTTACCTGATGAGCGCAAAATCATAGTATAAACCGAACGCTTTGCTAGCCAAGGATAGGATAGTATTAACATTGTATCAACATGGATTGGTTCTAATAATAAATCAAACAACTTGCTAACAATTATTCAGGGGATAGAAACTTGAATTTATTGTGGTTGAAAACTACGATTAACGACTAATAATGTAAATTAAGACTAGTGATCACAAGAGCAATGATTACTACAGGTGCAAGACAATAATTTGGATGTGATTTTGTTCAATATACACGTTTAGTCCTATCGATTCTCACGAATTCGATAGTTAATTAGAGTAGTCTTAAGGTTGAAATTTTTCTTTGTATTAAATCTAAACTTTAAATGAGAAACTAATTAAAGCACATTGAATTTAGATATGCACAAACACGGGTAAGGTTTAATCTTAGGAAAAAATGTCTTTCAAATATTTTTTCCTCTTGGTTCAATCAACGATTTCAACAAGCTCTTTAAGTTACTTGAAAGAAATAATAAATCAAATTAATCAAGTTAGTGCAGAGATATTCACTAATTCATTCCTCTTTCGATTAAATAAAATAATGAACAAAGCCATAATTTAATTCAACCCCAATATCGAGTTCAAGCATAAAAATGAGAATTAAAATCCACAATAATTTATGAATACACCATGTCTGTCAAAACCCTACAGCAAGCTACTCCATAATAATAGGAAAGAACATAGAAGAAGCAGAATGAGGAAACAATACAATCAATGATTAATCCGATCTGTATTGAATCAAATCGTGATGGGCAGTAGTGAATTCCGGGGTTCCTATGCTCTTTTCTATGCTCCTCCATGCTTCCTTGGTCAAAAGTTCAGTTAAAAGTTAAAACCGTTCTTAGGGTGTATTTTTAGATGTATTTATAGATGTAAGGAAAGTCTCTGCATTGCTAGAATTTGAATGTAATTGGTTACATAGTACAACATAACATAAACTCTAAACCAGTAAAATTCCTCATCTCTGCCACAATAAAGTGAGTTCATCAAAAAGAATCATTTGACATGAAATCTCCTTCTGTATCATTCTTCATTTGACATGGAATCTCTTTCTATTTCATTCTTAGTGATAAGTATGATTTTGGTATTTCGTTAAGTGTTTTTGCTCAAGCACTGAGTAAGCAGTTCCCAGAATGTATTTGATTCTCCACTAATTCAAATGTCAGCATGTTTACAGCTATATGACTTTAGGAGTCATTTGGTCATTCTAGGAGTTTGAGCTGACATCCATTTAGCTCCATATCTTGCAAGGTGTTAATTAACCACCTGCATGGTGGTTGATTTTTTAAATTGAAATGATGCTCACAGAAGAATAGAAACCTTGATCTCTTGTATAATTGTTGTAGTACTTATCATCAAAACTTTACCTTATCAGTAAAAAAAGAAAGGAAGGGAAGGATAGAAAACCTTGATCTTTTAACTATTGACTATGAAATCTTTGTCAAAAATAAAAATAAAAATACTATTGACTATGAGTTTATGATGTTAGATTATTGATACTCTTTTGGTGTTCCTCACACATTATTGTGTATATTAATATTTGATCAGGAGGTTATTTTCCAAATTTTGCTTTTTACTTAGGGATATGTGGGCAACAAGTCAGCAGTATTCCCCCTCCAACTGTTGGGCTATGATGTGGACCCAATCAATTCTGTACAGTTCTCAAATCACACAGGCAAGCTGCTTATATCACTTCATTCAAGAATCTGATGCCTGAAATACGGTGCGAGGTCATCTGTTAACCTGTAAAATCATGTGAACTGGATTATGTTGTGGTTAATTAGCTCGAGAACTCTGCAGGATACCCAACCTTTAAGGGCCAGGTTTTAAATGGAGAGCAGTTGTGGGAATTAATAGAAGGTCTTGAAGCCAATGGTCTATTATATTATACTCATCTGCTGACAGGTACTTTGAATGAGTAAATATCCTGTTCCATAATGTTTTTCTTGACATACATTCATGCTTATGCTTGAAGGCTCTGATACCAGAACTTACAATGTCAACAAACTTTCATATTTAGCAGTTAAAAAAATGTCTTCTGCTCCTCCATTTACAGCTTCCAGTACTTATAAAATGAAATTACAAAAAGAGTTTTGGTTACCTTGCATAGACTAGTTACCTGCTATGTCTTGTGTCAATCCAATTATCCGTCTTGTATTTTGGGCTGCATTTATTTGCCATTATAAGAATTCAGACTACTTTTCAATTTGATCCTTCTTCTTTTCTATTAACAGGTTTTTTTTTTTCTTTTTCTCATTGTTTTCCCTCTTTGTTTGTATGGAATGCATTGTTGGGCTCAGATGCTTATATTGACCAACACTTGTAGGTTATATTGGTTCAGTCTCCTTCTTGAACACAGTACTGAAAGTCGTTGATAAGCTTCGGTCTGTCAACCCCAAACTTAAATTTGGTGAGTATTTCCCCAGGAGCATATTTTTCTGTTGCATTTAGGAAGATAAATTCTTTCCAAATTGCTGCATTTACAGTTTTCCTCATGTAGTCAAGTGTCTCCTTATTTCATTGCCACTATCTTACGGCTTAGGAGAAGGTGAGTTTCAATGTTATAATTGCTGGTGAGGTGTAATGCTATTTTAGATAGATACTAACTAGGCTGTTGTACCAAATTGCTTCTCTTTCTAGATGTATGTAGTTGTACAGATATCTTTCATGTTTGTCCCCCCCAATTCTCTGTATAATTAAGTTTTCTTCGACAGTTTGTGATCCTGTGATGGGTGATGAAGGTAAGCTATATGTTCCTCCAGAGCTGGTGATGGTATACCGTGAGAAGGTAATTCTTTTTAATTTTATTAAAACAACATCAATGTGAATAAGTCGTAACTACCAGTTAGAAGGATCCATCCATAAACATTGTTTTGATCGACCTGGGTTAGAAATGGATGAGGACCCAAACATTTTACTGCTCAGTCACTCAGTATGCTCCTAGCTGCTTTGTTGTGATAACTTCAGCATGTTAAGGGACTGAGCCTGTCTTATTATTAATATTTTCGTTTGCACTGATTTGTGTTTATGTATCTCGTGACAGTATATTGCCCATAACATTATATGACTATCTTACTTGCAAAGGCAATGCGTTTTCTTTATTTAATGTCTTATAGTGGACAATAGACCCTTGTGGTCCAACCCTTCTCCGAACCCTGCGCATAGCGGGAGCTTAGTGCACCAGACTGCCTGTTTAACAAAAATGTTTTATAGCACTATTTTGAGTTTGTGGATCTTTTGACATTTATATTTTGTATCATTATGGAATTTTCTTACTTGCATTGGGTTGGTGAACGTTGATTATAAAACTTGTTATGGATGTGAAAAATCCTCCTTTTCTTCTTTTAATTTTTTGACTAGACAGGCCAACTTAGATCCAATTATATACATGCATTAAGGATCGGAACGTGAGAGTGGCTCCAAATAATGAATTGGTTACTGAATAATGGCTGCATTGGAGCATTTAGTGATGTTGTTTAATTTGTTGTGTTTCTTTAACTAGGTTGTCCCTGTTGCTTCAGTGCTGACGCCTAACCAGTTTGAAGCAGAGCAGTTGACTGGGTCCAGGTAACATTTCTAGGGGCCGTTACTTATCCCTAGAGGAAAATAGCATTTTCAGGGTATTTTAGCTGAATGAAGACACGTAGTCTTATGATGGTAGACTTGATTCTCAAGTGGAATGACATTTGTTTGGGTGAGGTGGGGGTGTGGGAGTATGTCAAAAAGTGTTGATTATAGAGTTATAGGTGTGTAAAATGTGAAAGGTTCCTCTTTTATTTGAAATAGCTATTTGCTGGTTAATCTACTTACTTACTAGACCGTTCATGCGATGCCTCAGGTATTTAAAGGTTTTGGAAGCTTTAACTTGAAGCTTGCTTAAATAATGTATCTTTTCTTGTGAATGCGCATGTTATATGGAAACACAGTTGATTTTGTCTTTCTTCTTAATCTTATCATATAGTTAGAAACTTTTGACGACTAATATCAGTATTATCCTGACTCTTACTAGTTACAATTGACTATTGTTAGTTTTATAATGTTATTGGATGTTGTTAAAGAAGAGTGAAACTTCATTTTGCGAAATAGAGAAGAATGACTTAGGAAGTGTTTGAATTAACTTATTTTTAGGTGCTTTTGGCTTTTAAACACTTTTTTAGTTTTAGAGGCGTTTGGAAAAGTAAAAAAGTGCTTTTAAGCACTCATCTTTAGGCCAGAAAAGTTATAAAATAAGTCAAAAGTACGGTATCCCCTAATTATGGCTTTTAGCTTTTGATGTATAAGTTACTTTTTATAAGCTTATCCAAATGGGGACTTAGAGCCCGTTTGGATTGACTTAAAAAAAGTAACTTTTAAAAAGTAACTTTTTAAAGTGCTGGAACTTATTTTTAAAATAAGTAGTTATGTGTTTGGATAAAAGTGCTGCAGTTGAAAAAAAAGTTGTTGATGTGTTTGGCAAATAAGTGCTGGTAAACACTTTTTTTTATCAAAATGTCTGAAATACCCTTTAAGCTGTTAACATGATAAAAAGTTGATTAATTTAAGGTTTTTATACTTGAAAAAAAAATTAATTTATATTTTACATCCATAAGTAATAATATTTTTCTATCATTCACATATTTCTTTACCACCTTATAAGAGGAATATAAATTCATATTTCAGAAATAATAATAATAAAATAATAATAATAATAATACTAATAATAATAAAATAATAATAATAATAAAATAATAAAATAATAATAATAATAATAAAATAATAATAGTAATAGTAATAGTAATAATAATAATAATAATAAAATAATAAAATAATAAAACAATAATAGTAATAGTAATAGTAATAATAATAATAATAATAATATAATAATAATAATAATAATAATATTTATTATTATTATAATTATAATTATTATTATAATAATAATAATAAAATAATAATAATAATAATAATAATAGTAATAGTAATAGTAATAATACACATAATAATAATAATAATAGTAATAGTAATAGTAATAATAATTATTATAATAATAATAATAAAATAATAATAATAGTAATAGTAATAGTAATAATACACATAATAATAATAATAATAGTAATAGTAATAGTAATAATAATTATTATAATAATAATACACATAATAATAATAATAATAATAGTAATAGTAATAATAATAATAATAATAATTATAATAATAATACACATAATAATAATAATAATAATAGTAATAATAATAATAATAATAATAATAATAATTATAATAATAATAATAATTTAATAATAATAGTAATAGTAATAGTAATAGTAATAGTAATAGTTAGTAATAGTAATAGTAGTAATAGTAGTAATAGTAGTAATAATTATTATAATAATAATAATAAGAATATAATAATAATAATAATAATATAATAAGAATAATAATAATAATAATAATATAATAATAATAATAATTCAATATGGGCAACTTGGAAATTGTATAAAAGAATTAAGGGCAAAAAGGTAATATACTTGGTTAACTTAAAAGTGCTTTTAAGTTTAAAAAAAAAAAGCTCCCCCCCCCTAGCTTTTAGCTTTTAGCTTAAAATAAGTCATTTTTGACTTAAAATAAGTCATTTTGATAATTGCCAAACACTCTAATAAGTCAAAAACTGGCTTTTAAGCCAGTTTGACCAGCTTAAAAGCCCATCCAAACAGGCTCTTAATCTAGTGCTTTTCATTTATTTTCTTGTAATACTTCTGCCTTCTAAGGAAGTTTTTTTTTTTTTTTGTTGTTGACAGTATCACTTCTGAAAAAGATGGGCAAGAAGCTTGCAACATTCTTCATGCTGCTGGGCCATCAAAGGTATCCTGACGTACTTAGAGATCTAAATACTCTTAGAAAGCTTTCTAATGCAGTCATATTTATAGCAAGAACATTTCGCAGGAAAGTTTTCCCGTTGTTTATCTAACTTTTGCAATTACTTTTTCTCCTTAGCGCTTCTCCTTAACCGTAGTGCACTTTTTTTCCCCAATGGTGGTATTCGGATAACTTGTGCACCTCTACTATTCCACCAGGTACCTGCTGCCTCCCACCAACACAGGTACCAGGTAAATCTGCCAAGCAAGGTTTTGAAAGATGGGGAGAATCACCCAGTGTTATTTTACTCTCCACTAAGATTTGAACCCCTAGTTTCTCATGTTTTTTTACCCATTTCATTAATCACTATGACGCACCCTGAGGTGCTCCTTAACCTCAAGGCACATTGCCAGTGAGAATCATCTAACCAAGTAAATCATGCTTTGCCTTGGATTATTGATTTTGGAGCACTTCATGGGAGTCTTCTTGTAGGGAACCTTGTGTAGTAAAAGATGAACATATATCTGATGTTGACTTCCTGTAAGAATTTGCTCCTAAACTCAAAACTCTGTCAATGCTGAATATATGGTCTAGAGGATTGCTGAACTTATCGTCCCACAAAAATTAACTTCAATTGGAATCAAGATTCAGTCCTTATATGTCTTGGCTGATAATTTTGAAGTGGTTTTTGGGTCAACCGCTCTATTCTCCTCAGCAACTGACAAATGAAAATTGAAACATTTTTTGTTTCTGAAGCATGTTAGCTTTTGATCATTTAAATAACTTTCCCTTCCCCTGTCTTTTTGTCTCTTTCTGAAGCTTTCCATGAGTGTGTGAAAATGCCTCCTACACAATTCCATCTTCACATTTTGAGTACCCACTATGTCTTTTCTTCAATTTTGAATTTGGATTACCTTGGAACTTGTGTAGGATGGGTTCACTTTTTGTTATGCTTAATCTCAATTGTTCCTTCCCAAGGCAGAAGGGGGAAGTGGCATTACCTGAAAGAGGTTGATGAGCCTTAAGGGCTGTTACTTAAGCAGCTTGTGGCTCTAATCATTTTTTCCTGGAGCTCATGCTCAATTGTCACTCATTTAAACTTGACTATTCTCTTATCTGGTATGGTGCTCATAGTCTCTAACTCAAACATGAAAAATTACGAAGTTCTAGAAAAAAGCATTTTGGTGTCAGATAAAAGTAGTGATTGGTTTTTAAAAGAGAAGAAAAGGAACAATCAGCAGCTCTGAGTGTTGGATAAAGCTAGTTTTATGCTGGAGTGCTACAATTATACATTTTGTTATCTTTTATGTGGATACGCTAGTCACAGAAGTTCAACTTAGTTCAAGTGAATCTAAATATATATTTTCCTAAAGACAAGTGAATCTAAATAGAGTGCAATATATATTCTGTTTGTGGAATGAAATGGGCCTAAATAGAGCGCAATAGATATAGATGATGCATATAGCCTCCTCCAACTTTTTAGGGACTGAGGAGGAGTTGACTGATTCATTGTAGTTCTATGTATTTTGTATATCTTATCTTTAGTTAACTGTTGATGACATTATCAAAGGGTAAATCAATCATAGTACTATGCTAGTGCTGTTGCCTAGGTGACTGTCCACTGTTAGTTGCATGTTTAAACATTCTTTATATTAAGAAAATGGAATTAATATGAAGGGGAAAAATAGGGAAAATTTATTCCCATTTTTTCATTAAAAGATAAAATGAATTTAGATGCTGTAGTATTGCATTTTTCTATAATATCGTTCAGGCCTTTATGCTTTTTGTTTTGCATGTATTGTATCATTCAGGTCTTTGTGCTCTATGTCATGTCAGGTTGTTATTACTAGCATAAACATTGATGGCACTCTTCTCCTTATTGGCAGTCACCAGAAAGAAAAGGTAAATGTCATGATTGTCTATCATTTTGATATCGGGTACTTTCCTAGAGTGTAGTACTACTTTCATTTTATGGTAAGTCCCAAAAAAATAGTGTCATTTCCTTAAATGAGCAGATTTTAGTACATTTTTAAAGCAAAGGTCTAGTGGATCCAATTTTATTTCTCTCAATACAGTTTTTCCTCTATTGTCTTATCCAACAGCAAAGTTGACATGTGATTCTACATTGTTTCCCAAATAATAACTAAAACTCTCAGAGTTCAACTTTCCCCTCCTAGTGGCTAGTACTCACTGCATTCACTTTTACTTATCCACTTGTACTAAAAATATATGTCCATTTTTACTCGTCCAGTTTAGAAAACCAAGAGATAATTTATCACTCAGTTCCTAATTTACCCTTATTATTAACTATAGTCATTTCACAATGCATTTATCAAAGCATTGAATTTCTTATAGCCAAAGGGGATATAGTAAAATTGTCATTCTATTTATTGCTCCTTAAGGGGTGTGTCAAGTCAATACTTGACAAGTAAAAATGGATGGACAGAGTAATACCAACTAATCGAATTAAAATTGGGATTGAATGGAATATTTCACATTGGATTTCGATTTATCATCTGGTCAGCATTTCATCCTTTCTATGACGTCATGCAAACTGGAAATGAAATTCGCATGTGAACTTTCTTAAGATTGTGATGCAGTTAGTTTATCCCTACTATTACTCCCACGAAACTGGTTAATTCTGAGTTTTAAGCATCACTGTTCTGTTTTTATTTAGGAATGATTCCGCCACTCAGTGTTATTTTCACTAAAAAGTTCCATGATACGGATATCTAATTTGACAGGGTCAATCTCCTGAGCAATTCAAGATTGTGATACCAAAAATTCCTGCATATTTCACGGTATGTGTCTTGCAACTAGATAATTAAAGAAGTTTGACTTTGGAAGGAAATTTTTTTGCTTCGATTTCCTCGAAATTATTGTATCGCATAAATTAGTGCTTTGCTGTTATAATTGATACAGGTTATAAAGATTTTCCTTTTCTGGGGTTCAAAGAGAAACATTCCCACATAGATTACAAGTAATGTCATCAACATGTTTATCATTTTTCTCTTGTGGGGTAAGGTCCATGGAGAAACATTGAAACGACATTTGTTACTTTGCAAAAATCTGAGCATCCAATCCAAAAATTTGAGTCAATCATTGGAGCGGCCAAGACTCTTATAAACTCCTTTGAAGTCTAGACAATTTATGTGGGATGATGTGTTACTCAATATCCTCTTGCACATGTAACTTGGTCTTACACTTCACAAGTGAATTTTAATGCGTACTTAGGGGTGCAGAAGGGACGTTCCAATTCTGTCATGATGTGAAAGATATGCGCATCCAACCCAACACCTCTAAACAATGGGTAGAACGTAATTCTCTCGGAAGCCCGTACATAATCCATGTATACAATTAGTAACTCCACACTTCCAACTTCTTAATTTGTCAAAAATCCTATGTATGAAACTTTAGTTTTTCCAAGCATTCTTTCATTGTTTAGGAGTTCAATGCTTGTTCTTTTAGTTATTGGGCGATGTGAGCTCCGTCTAAGAGGGAGGAAGGGAAAGAGAGCTGGCACCGGCAGCTATGCATCTAGTTATTAGATACATCTTATTCTGTTGGTGTCCAACATGATAAATCCTGCTAATTAGTTATACAAGGATTATTCCTATTTATTAAATGGTATCAGGATACCACTCAATTTTCATATTGAATGACAAGGCTGGTGGGTGTGCACTTTTTACAACAATGTAGAAATCCCAGAAATTGTTTTTGGGTTCTTAGTTTAATGCTCATTCACCTGTATCAGTTTCTCAATACATATTAGCCCTGGTAAATTTACTCAATATACATTGCATGCTTGCAGGGAACGGGGGATTTAACGACTGCTTTGTTGCTTGGATGGAGCAATGTAATGTTTGACTCACTTAAGACAAAGTCTGAGCTTTATTTTCCACAATAATCTGCTCTGATCTTAATTTTTTATCTCATACAGAAATATCCCAATGACCTCGACAAAGCGGCAGAGCTTGCTGTCTCAAGTGTACAGGTACTAGTGTGCAACCTGTTGTTTGTGTACATCCACTCATGTAATGTCTTGAACGTGGAAACTGAATCAGCATGTTGAATAGGTTATTATGACAGCATCCAACTAGTTTGATTGCATTGTCATGATTTGGGAGTTTGTTTCATAAACCTATGCTAATATCCAGGAGCTTGTTGTAAACAGCCATGAGCATCCTGCCGGACTGAACAAAAATATAGGCACATGCTTTTTTATACTTGAAGGTTAAAACAGCGGCTTGTCTTGACTTGTGCCAAGAACAATTATAATGTGTTTTCTAATTATTATTTTTTTGGATTTTGATGCAACGTAGTAGTATTTAGTCAAAATTTGGGTAGTGTACACAGTGCACATTCAACTGTCCAGAATTTTCATGCTTGTGACGAACATTAGTTGCTTGCTCTTTTTCTTAAATCAACCAATTTTGTTGCTTGATGCAGGCACTTTTATTGAGAACACTAGCAGATTATCAAAAGGCTGGCTATGACTGCCAATCAAGCAGTTTGGAAATTCGGTTGATCCAGAGCCTGGATGACATCCGCAACCCAGAAGTTAAATATAGAGCTAAAAGATACAACTAAGATTCTGTTGTGGTCTGGTCTATTTATTCCTTTAGGATAGTCTCAGTAGAATGAAACAGTTTCATTTGTACACAATATAAATAGAGTGGACCATTTAGCTCTTGTTGCTGAGACGGTCATATCCCCCATTAACTTATAATTAGATAGCAACAGATAGTACTGAGAAGAGCATTCTGGGAAAAGAGGGTATGGCAATCGTTATATTCATTTTGCTATTCCCTTTCTCCTTCATTTGTTTGTGCTTTATCTTTTTGGCTATTCTGTGCTTCGCAAAACTTGAAAGGGGCAACACTTGTATACATTATCTTACCTAAAAATTGAAAGAAAAATTACAGGGACATGTTTTGGTATTTTTTTAATTATATAGATACCTTGCTCCGTTCTTGTAGGCTCTTGGATCAACGAACTGAGGCACGAGTACACAATCATTTCCCATGTTATGGTGGGTTTGATCAACATCGACCATCACTCCATTAGAAAGTAGAGAAGACCACCAAAGTCGCCTAGTTTGGGGTAGAGTGTAGACCTTCCACTTTGGCACACTCAAACAGGTCGAGTAGAACCTCTCTCATTAAGTGGAGTTCAGCACAATTACACACAAGTTGAGACGACTCTACCTGAGCTTTCTTATCTAAGTGGGTGTTTGGAAGTAAAAATGGTGAAATTTGAGAAAACGTTGAAAATTGGAGTACTAGGTCTTGGGTAAGGATCTCCCAAATGAGGTGTGTCAGGTATGAAATACCTGGCATGTTTTCTCGGTTTAGCTTAATTATACTGGAGTGAAATTTACCTTGTACGCATTCAAAAAAGATAGTGATTGCAAATCTTTTGGTCATTGAAAGAAGTACTCGGCCTTGATGTAAGCATTGATATCTGGACTTTGTTTTTTAGATTTTTGAGAACTACATTTCTTAAAAGTTGTACAAAAATAATTTTTGGAAAATTAAAGTTATACGTACGTACTAGTTTTCCGAAAAAGAAAAAAGAACTCACCGTGATGGGGCTAATTAGAATTTGGCGGAAAATGAAGGGCAATCATTGTAATTACTTTTTCTCATGAGGACCAATAAGCAGTTTCTACAAGTTTGAGGGGCAGAACCTGATATTTTCGCTAAACTTCATCGGAACGTTTAAAGAGGTTTCTGGAAGCTGGGATCGCGGGAAAGCCCGTTCCAGTAACAACAAAGATAATATTTTGGAGAGTTCACAGACAGCGAAAAAAAATGGAAGCTGAAGCAGCATTAGAGTTAGTGAAGCATGGCGCTACCTTGCTACTTCTTGATGTTCCTCAGAATACCCTCATCGGTATTGATACCCAGGTCTGTTTTAATTTTTAGAATAATTTGCTGTTCAATTTTTCCAATTGATTGATTTCGTTTTAATTTGAAGTAGTTCGTTATTTGTAGATGTTTTTCTCTGGGCCTAATTTCAAAGGTGTGAAGATGATTCCTCCTGGCGTCCATTTCATCTATTACAGTTCATCCAACAGGTGCTTTTTGTAGCTTGAATCCCATTGCTTATCGTTTTCTTCAGGAACTAATCAAGCTTCTAGCTCTAGGGTTGTGGAGTATTCATCCTGAAATAGTGGTTTCGAAGTACTTAATTATAAGTTAAAAGTGCTGGAAATATGATCATACATTAGAAACGTCAAATTATGTACTCCAGTTTGTTGTTTCTAGTGAATGCAGCAGTGACTTTCCTGTTAGCAATTTAGGTTCCTGTTTGTTGCATAAGAACCCGTTTATGTCGCTTAACCTTTTTACTGATATAGGCTACTCATTTCAATATCATAAGTATAGAGTTTAGACCTAGAAAGCTCAAATTAAATTCTTCTTGTTTCAAGTGAATGGGCGTCACTGACCTTCTCCCAACAGTTTATCATTCATTTGTGTTGTAAGAATCCTGTTCTGTTGCCAGACCTTTTAATTTAGTGTACCGTATTATTCTTTTTTGCTGTTGTTTGTTGCTCTTTGGTTTCTTTCCCTTCATAGAAAACGATATGATTAGTCACTAATGTTGTCTTTTCTTCTTCTGGGTGCAGAGAAGGGAATGAGTTCTCACCAATAGTTGGTTTTTTCGTTGAGGCGAGCCCTTCAGAGGTTAACAAAAAATCTCATTTGCCAATTCTGCATTTATTTGTTGATCCACTCATGTTTATAATTGTTCTGATCTCTTCTAATGTTGATAGCTAGATAGTGTTTGTACAGTTTTATGTTGCCAAAGCATAGACACAGATACAATTATATTATCATAGATTCTTTATATGCTAATCTCTTGCTTTTTTTTGTTGATTGCTTTTTTTCCATGTTTGAACAATTGTTCACTTGTCATTGATGTACTAAATGTGTCTTCTTTTCTTTTATGTCAAAGTATGTTGGGAAACTTAACCTGTCTTCCAATGATAATTGAGCAGGTAATTGTTAAGAAATGGGATTCAAAGGATGAGCGATTTGTCAAATTATCCGAAGAAGAGGTGAGTTCCCCTAAAAAAATTTATTACTCCCCTTTCTCTCTTTTCTTTTTTTTCCCTTGTTGGTGATTGGTTATGTGTGCAGAGAAATCTGCTCTGATCCAGCATGTTAAAAGCTAGCCCATAACATGTTAGCTAGTAAGGTAGAGCCCAATCTTATTACCAGTACAATACTTCATCTTTTCTCGAATATTTTGGATGTTATTGGAATTATTTCCATGGTTACTTTCTTTGCTAGATAAAGGTAATGTAATTGTTTCCATGGTTATGAAAGCAAATAAATTGATGAAGATTACTGTCTAAATTAAAGAATTGACCTTCAGAATTAAGAAATACTAGTACTTTCCCATTCCTACCTCGGTGCAAAAACTTGGAGACGACTTGAGAAGGATGGAATCTGTTAGCTGGTTTCTACCTCTGTTAGTCTTAGAGAGCATGTTGTCCATTAGTTCATCCTACTCAATTAGATGAACTTAGATGCACATATAATTTCACTTGCATATTAATTTATATTTTCCATAGAAAAAATCTTTTTCTGACATGATTTTGATGATAAGAGAACAACTCATTAATAAGGGACTAGTTTTTTTTTATGAAATTAGTAAAGGACTAATTACGGACTTGTTTGACTGGATAATTGATGCTGTAGTGCAAGGTGAGCTCTTCCATTTAGTTACATGTCCTTAGATAAGTCGGACAATAATTCATTTGGTGTCATCTATGTATGATCTCTATGCCTGTTGAGCTTCAGCTTGTCTACTACACTGGTGAACTATGATTTTCTGTGTATTAGTTAATCGGAGTTCTCTGTGACTGTGAACTGGTTTTCATATGCAACATTATTCTTAAACATATCTATGGTGCACATTTTTATTGCTTTAGAAGACTTGTTTCCTTTTCAAAAAATGATTATTTCCGGTTTATTTGAAGGGAGAGAGATATGCTCAAGCGGTGAAAAAATTGGAGTTTGACAGACAACTTGGCCCTTATGCATTGGATCAGTACGGAGATTGGAAGCGCTTATCTAACTTTATTACGAAGAGTACCATTGAAAGTATTGGTAAGTACGTTGCTTTCACATTGTCTCTTAGTGTTTTGACGATGAGAACTGAGGGCAGCATCTGAGCCAAAGATGTAGAATCCTTGGTTGAGTTGATTATAAAAGAGTTATCAGCATAAAGAGGTAGCAAGTTTGAGAATATTTAGGAGCAATGTCTCTCAACCCTTGTGTTTTTTGCAATTAGATGGTGCCTGATATATGATGACACTTAATCCCATTAGTTGTGCGCCTACTGGCGTAGGTATCCCATTGGTAACGTGATAGCATAATTAAACCCATTAATTATCACATGATTTCTCAATCCCTCTTATCGTGAGACAATGATACATATTAAAATAAACAACCTTATTGTGAACCCTTTTTTTTCTTTTGCGATTGTTAATTGTGAGCCTTTGGTCTCTTTGACCAGCTCAATGGAATTGGTTCAGCTAGTGAGTTTCATGTCATAGATAATGGGTTATCGACTTATCTCTCTCTGAGTAAATCAAAACATGAGTTACTCTTGTGTGTGTGATCATTGCTCTGTCTTGTTATCCTTTTGCTATTCCCTTCACCAGCTTCATCATTTGGCAGAACCTATTGGAGGAGAAATCACAATTATTTCTGAATCTGAAATGGTTGGGAATGTTCATAAGACAGCCATGGAGAAAGTCTTGGCTGAGCAGTTGAAAAATAGCAAGTTCTCGAAGCCTGATAAGAAGTCACCAAGTAACGGTTGTTATTACACCTCAATTCCTCGTGTTATCAAGCTAAAGGGAGTTTCAGGACAAGATCTTACTAACATGAATCTTGACAAGGTATTTGGCTTAAATCTGTGCAGTTTCTATAAAATGACTAGTCTTTCTATTTTTCTTTTCTTTTGCTTTTGAGAATAACTTTAGATTTTACCTTCAATGCAGACACACATATTGGAGACCATTCTGACGAAGCAATATGGTGGTTCAGAAGATTCACTTCTGGGAGAACTACAATTTGCCTTTGTAGCATTTCTGGTATCAGCCAGCAGTTTCTTCTTTTCTTTGCTCTTTAGTTCTTTATGTGATGAACCAACTTAATTGAGAAGACAGTTGTTGAAGTTAAATATGTGAACAATTTACAGATGGGACAATCACTTGAAGCTTTTCTGCAGTGGAAACTTTTAGTCAGCCTATTACTTGGCTGTACAGAAGCTGTAAGTATACATCAATCTCTCTGCTTGTATGTTGCTAGGAAAATCTTCCTCTCTACCGACATTTCCAGATGCAATAGGGACCTAGATAATACAGCACACCCTCTCTCTCTCTCTCTCTCTCTTTTCTTGTGATCAATATTGATACTACTTATGCTTTCAGATAAATCTTAAAAGTCTTAAGTTGCTTTTGACTATAATTTCCATGCCCAGTGGATTTTTTTAACAACCTACATAATCCTAGGTCTATTTTAATGTCAAGTTTGTGTCTAGTCTGACCATTAATTTCTTTGCAGCCTCTCCACACAAGGACTCAGCTATTCACCAAGGTAACTTTCAAGTTTCAAAGAACATATCCTTTCAGTGCATGCTGTCTTATAGAAACATATGTAACTTCCAGCTCTGTGGCCGGAAGCCTGGGCCTATGGAATAATACAACAATTTTATCATTGCATTTCCACAACTCTGTCCAACATAAGATGAAAATGAGAAATCCTATCAGTTAATATGGACAGTGAAAACGA